CCACGGCCCCCCTGCCACAGGCCAGGCAGGAGGCTGTAGGCACCGCTGCTGTGGTCATGCTGCCTGGGGCCACACACCGTCCCCGAGGTGCCACAGGATGTCCCAGAGGCGCTCCCGGCCATAGGCTGCCCTAGAGCCATGCATCCCCAGGCCGCCCCAGAAGTGAGCGGTGCATGACCTGGGGCTGGCCCCAGAGGTGTTGTTACCATGCCCACGCAGCCCGGGACTGACCTGGAGGCACGGTACTATGGCCCGGGGTTGGCCCCAGAGGTGCTGCTACTGCGCCCATGCGGCCTGGGACTGGCCCTGGAGGTGCCGCTACTGTGCCCACCCCGGAGGTGCCATGGCAAGCAGTGCCTCCAGCCGCCAGGGATGGCCCTGGCTGCCTGGCCACAGTAGCGGCGCCTCCGGGGCTGGCCCTGTTGAGGAGCCTCAGCCCCAACACTGCCTCCTCTCCAGAGGCTGCCCAGGCGGAGGAGGGGCGGGACTGAGTTCTTTCCCTGGCGCACACACCAGTTAGGGGGCAAATCAAAGCCCAAGGTGGGCTGGATCCGGCCTTCTGAGAGACTTTTGCCCACCCCTGGTATAACTTAACATGGTCCTGGTTAATGTTGCTTCATTGTTTAGTCCCTGATCTAATAAAGAACATATTTGCTTAAAGTTGCATAATATTTGCTTATAAGATTGTTTGGCCACCTGCTAACACAGTGTCGGGCAACCTAGGCTAGTGAGTGAGCTGCATGAGTGGCCCTCCTTTATCTCAGTGGGCTGCAAGATTGCTGTAACCAAGACAGTGTCCCAGGATAGGGTAGTTTTACAAGCTGCATTTGCGTAATCTCAGGAAAAAAACTATGCTGTGGAAACTAACGGAATCTTGACAACTCTGTGCATGGACAGTGGTAAACAAAATGTCTCTCTGGCCGCATATAGAATCCCAGTGGACCTCAGGTTGTTAGCAGGTAGAGGCTTGGAACCAGTGTGGGACAGCAGCTTCCTTATCAGTTCCCCATCCCACCTTCTACCTCCTGCATACAGCAGTTCCCCCTTCCTCCCCACAGCAGTCAGCTGTTCAGAAGATTCTGGAGGAAGAGGAGAAGGAGTGAAAAGGTGGTGCGCAACCTCTCCTTCCCCAAGCCTCTTGAACACCACTAAACAGCGGATTGCTGCAGGAATCAGATTCTGTGAGGAGGAAAGCTGTTCATCCCATCTTCACTACCCCACACCCCCGCAGAGCCTCCTGAACACCACCAAAGAGCTGATTGCTGTGCATGGGAGGCACACAGCCTTATCCTTCCCTCCTGTGCCTTCTGCCTGCGACTTTGAGGAGTTTGGGGGAATAGGGAGGAGTGGATGCGGGTCCAGGACAGAGCATCGGGTTGAGCACCCCCCAGCACTTTGGAAAATCAGTGCTTGAGCAGTAAGGTATTCTCTGGGAAATATCCCACCTGATATCAACAGGATTGCTTTAGGAGAAGTTCAAGAAGCTCAAAAGAAGATCCTCTGATTGAGGGAGAAAATAAATTCCCTGGAACCTAACGGCCTGGCTCTTTCCCCCTCTTCTTTCATTAATTCCTGTGGGGAAATTGGATTCACTTAACATTGTTTTGTTTAAAGTCGCATTTTTCAAGACCATAACTACAATGCTAAGTGAGGAGTTTCTCTATTTGCAGTTCACATTTCAAGTCAGCTGAAAAATAATACACAGAAGAGAGTAAATATGCATTCAGAATATTTTAGCAAATCAGTGATAGCAGACCTTTCCAATTTGTGTTTCCCTTATCGTATTAATGATGCCCAAATCAGCAATTAATCAAATTTGGAATCAACTTTGGTGTGATACTTTTTGTTTGAAAACTTTGGCAGTGTTTAGGTTAATATCAATTTGTAGGCTCTTATATTAATGTTGATACCTAACGCAATATCTATGCTCCTCTGATTGTTGTGATGTTCAGATTCAAGTACGGAATGTTCACCATTGCTTTTATCATCATTATTATTAAAGGTCATATATCTGGAGGGAAAAATAGCTCACTTCGACCCATGGAACAGTGTTTTATACTTTTCTTTTTACCCTTCGTGAAAATAGTAGATGACAAGTTTTCAGTCACCAGCATTTCAAGGATAAATAAAGGAATTCTGTATCATAACTGATTGCAAACTTACCTTCTTTTCAGTTCTTCCAAAGTTATGGAAGGATTCTGCTTTGCTGAGATTCCCCTACATGCGCTTTCTCTGACCTGCTTTTTATGTCTTTTATGTGGCACACTGTGCATTGTGAGGAGTATAAAACAATGATAAAAACATTGCATAATTATGAGCAATACTCTTTTAATCTGTATTGGCTCAATGTTATAAGAAACAGGTAAATCAATATTGTATTTCAGTGTGTTAAAGAATATCCTTCTTATGCCTGCTACAAGAAGCATTCAGCATTAGTCTGTTTATTTAATTACAAACCATATGGGATCAATAATATTTTATTGACCGAAAAGTTACACTGTAATAATGTACACTTTTATCTAATGCACAGTTTTTTCTTTGTTACAGTTTGTAAGACATGTATTGTTCAGCACTTTGAAGAAAGCAATGACTGCCCCAGATGTGGCAATCAGGTACATGAGACCAATCCATTAGAAATGTTAAGGTAAGACAACATTTAATAAAATTTGAATAAATACATGTCATTGGAAGTTTTTAACAGTCTTTTTTAATAATTTCATTAATTTAAGGACATTCCATAATTCCTTTTTTTTTAATTTACACAAATGCTGACTTCTGTGTGTACACTCAAGGTATCCTTTATATTACTTGAATATAAAACTAAATGAATATCCAGCATAACCCACCAGCGGCAAACTGGTCAACTATAAAGTTTCAATTCCTGCTTCTTTAAATTACTCCCTGCCTTCAAATGCATGGAAAGAAAGCTGACCATTGTAGTTTGGCTAATATCCATTTAGCATAAATTCACTTAAACGAAGAAAGTTCTTTAAAAAATGCTTCTGACATCCACATGAAATATTTTTAGCCTATTTTTCAACTGGGAAAGTAGCTCTGACACAGACTCTTAGGGTATGTCTACACTTGCCCCCTCGTTCGAAGTAGGGAGGCAAATGAAGCATACCGAAGCTGCTAATGAAGCGTGGGATTTAAATATCCCATGCTTGATTAGCATACTCACACCCGGTCGCCATTTTAAAATGCCGGTCGCCCGATTTAACTTGCCACATGTAGACGTGGTAGTCCGATCCAAAACCCTTCCCTCGAATTAACTCTTACTCCTCATTGCAAGAGGAGAATAAAACATTGCTCATTGCAAGGGGAGTAACAGTTAATTCGAGGGAAGGGTTTTGGATCGGACCACCGCATCTACATGCGACAAGTTAAATCGGGCGACTGGCATTTTAAAATGGCGACCGGTCACGAGTTTGCTAATCAAGCATGGGATATTTAAAACCCATGCTTCATTAGCAACTTCGGTATGCATCATTTGCCTCCCTAGTCCGAACTAAGGGACAAGTGCAGACATACCCTTATTCCCTAGAAGCTCTTCCAATACTGCCAGTTCCCCTTCAAGGCCTCTTCTTTTTAATAGAATTTGTTTTACATTTATTGTTACTAAATTTTAAACAATATGTTATTTTCCCATTTTTCTGTAGCCCAATGTTTATATTTAAATTTACTGTTGTTTCTAGTATGGCGGATGCATTCTTTCATTATGTTGTTCATTTGTAAGTCAAACATTCAAGAACACACTTGAACAGTTGCTGGGTACTATTTCAAACATGATCACTAAAAACTTTTACCTTTTCCAGGTAACTGCCTCATCAGGAATTTCATACAATAAGTTTTCATATATAAATGATTCCATGATCTAGACCTGTAAATTGATTGGCAATAAATTTTTATACCCCATCTGCATCATTCAATATCTGTAGTATACAGGCAGTCCCCGACTTACGTGGATCCGACTTATGTCGGATCCCTAGATACGAACGGGGTGAGGCAACTCCCGCACATACGCAGCAGCATTCCCGGGGCTCGCTCACCTGGGTCCTAGGATCCTCCTCCTCCTTGGGCCGGCTCCGACTGGGGTCCCACAGAGCTGCCGGGCAGAGGAAAAGTGCCTCCCCACGCCTGCTGCCCCCTCCCCTGAGCAACAGGCTGCCGAACAGACAAAAGCAGCCTCTCTGCCCCTCCTCCCCTCTATACATGCCGGGCCGCCTCCGACTGGGGTCCCACAGAGCTGCCGGGCAGAGGAAAAGTGCCTCCCCACGCCTGCTGCCCCCTCCCCTGAGCAACAGGCTGCCGAACAGACAAAAGCAGCCTCTCTGCCCCTCCTCCCCTCTATACATGCTGGGCTCCCTGGGCACACAA